AGATTGGTAGAGAATGTGCTGTGATGGTTCTATAGAGAAACATTTCTGCAAAGGGTTCTATTGTTATGATGCCAAGCCTGTAACAATTGAAGAACCCTTTTTGGTGCTATATAGAACCATATAAAACATATTCTCCAACAATCTAATGATGCAAAGATTTCACTAGAAGGTGTTCATAGTTCTATATAGAAACATTTTCTTTACTACAGAACCCTTGAAGAATCATCTTTTTTAAGAGTTTACATTTGAAGCGAGGGGTAAAATTTTGACTTTTCCCCTTTTATAAAAAGTGACTTTTATGACAAAATGAAAACTGATGGCTGATGACCATACAGAGGTGAAATGAAGCAACTGAAACAGGACAGAGAAAGCATGATGGTTGAAATACCTTCAGAGATTCAGCAGTGGTCAATCGTAACTGTTACAGCTAGGCCTTCAGTTCAGACCATAAATAAGATAATCCTTTATTAGTCCCACAACAGGGAAATTCTCAATATGAAAATGATCAAAAATGAGGGAAAAAAAAACAAACACCTCTGTCTCTATGGCAATGCTAATTTCAGCTAGCTCCCCTATGGGACTGTAGAAATAACTTAGCGCTAACGGCAATTGATATGCATATATTTTTATCTTGCAGCACTTTTACAGCAAATCATTCAGTAGAGTGCAGCATTGAGCTGCCGCTGTTTTCCACTTCTAACAACTGAACCCTGGTTAGACTACGACTCAAATTCATAGTCAGGCTGAATCTCAAATGGCTCACTACTCCCTATATAGTGCACTATGTGAGTTAGGGAGTTTTGCCTTCTTCACCCAAACAGTGGACTCTATGTCCATGAGGAATCGTGCACATGTGGCTGAACTCCAAATGGCTCTTTATTAGACATATGCACTGTTTGGGTGCAGGAGACATTTTAAGACTTCCGCCTCTGTAACGGATCTCAAACGGTAGGGGGCTAAGGTGGCCCCAGAAAAATCTCACAGTGGCACTCCCTATCCAAAAGGTGGCCGAAGTCTGAAAAGACTCAAAATGTGATTGGTTGATTCCACTGCCAGTTCTTAATTGGGTCGTTCTACAGAACCGTTAACTTTTTTATCGGTCCATAGGAGTCACTGGTGTTACTGATCCTCATTGGTGTTACACATAAGAAAGGGAACACCAGAGACATTTTTAATGAAAAATACATTTTACAAAACGGCTGCTACAGAGCATCAAACCACATGTCAATCATGGAATATCCACTAAAATATTTAATCTATTTGTATCCTATTTTTTCACAATTACCTCAGAATAAAGTTGGTCACACCAGTGACATCAACTAAAAGCTTCATATGAAATCATGAGCTAAATGAGAAAATCTCTGATAACTGAAAGACACAGTGGGCTCACCATGAGCTTTTCTTCATAGATCCTCAGAAAACAGGTAAAAGGAAGTCAAGTGATGTCATCAGTTTGATTTTATTTCAAAATATTTTTTACGTGGTAACACCAGTGACACAACTCCTGGGGACAACTTTCATCCATCCATCCATCATCTAAACCACTTATCCTTCTGGGTCGTGGTGGGGTGCTGGAGCCTATCCCAGCTGTCATTGGGCGGAAGGCAGGATACACCCTGGACGGGTCGCCAGTCCATCGCAGGGCAGACAGACAGACATACACAGTCACAGTCACACACACACACACACACACCCAGGGGCAATTTAGCATGTCCAATCAGCCTGACTGCATGTCTTTGGACTGTGGGAGGAAACCGGAGTACCCGGAGGAAACCCACGCAGACACGGGGAGAACAGGCAAACTCCACACAGAAATGACCCTGGTCGCCCAACAACTTTCATTATATATTTTATAATATTCATTTGGCTTTTTTTCTTTATCATTTAAATCATATATTTCATAGTCATCTATAGATTATTGTGGTTAAAATATCAGAAAAACATGGTTTTTACCTCAAAATATGGCCTCACCCTTTACACATGACTGTGAGGACGAGCTCTTCTGTAGTGCTTGGAATTCTATACGATTGATTTAAAATATAAATTAATTGTAACCCTAACATGTTTTTCAAGTGTAATATATCTGTAAAGGCTAGGGACACAAAAATGGACGTTTCTGTAGAATGACCCAATTATGTTAGTGGTTACTCACTCATTTTGCCTTCAGTTCAGCTCCTGAAGTCCTAACCAATGGGAGAGCTCGCTTGGCTGTATGTATATAGATTGCACAGAGGAAAAATCCCTGACTGGTCAGTTTTCTTTTGGATGCTTCAACAAATTAAAATGCAATAGGAGTATAACTGCAATAGTTTGAGGGTTTAAATACAATAAGCTTTATGATTCTATTAAATAAAAGTGAACTAAAAATTACATATGTGTATTTTTTCATCTCACAGAAATCAACAGGCCTTCTCTGGAACAGAATTCAATACTGTTAGGTTTGGCAAATCGAGGCTGCAGCAGCGTTTATTTTTATTCGCATCGCATGAATAAATGGTTCCCGCAGAGTTGAGAGAAAAACCACACACTCGCTGATGAAACAGGCGACAGATTGCAAGTGACATTTACTGAGACATAAAGGCATGAAATGTAACTGCAGTGTTCATTTGTCACATTACATAAACCATACAAGCAGAACATTTCCAGTTTCAGAAGAAAACTCGCTGCTGGATGATTCTGTGCTGCTCACACTGGTAGATCACTCTTTATTACTCTAATCGCTTCTAACATTCTTCAGAATAAGCAGAGCTGAGCATCTCTGTTCGATCTGTGGTCAGCAACCAAGTTTAAGAAAGACAAAAAAAAACCCTGTGGCAGTGTAAACCTCCTCTGATTGTCACCAAATAGGAAAGTCAAGTACTGGGCGGGCCCTGTTGATATTTACAAATGTGTGGAGTGATACTCTGTGGTCAATATTAAAAGGCAATTACGCTGACCACCAAAAATTCTGCATAATTAATTGGTTGAGTTTATAGCTACGTCACAAAGTTATAACATGAAAATAAATGTTATGAATACAAATCCTAATGTCTGAGATATTGTTTGATAATAGCTTTTAAATTAGATTTCAGCCTAAAATGCATTTTTAAAGCCATTCATTGCAGACCGCTACATGCCTGATGTGATATGGCAAAACAGTCCTCAAAGAAAACTTATTTGGACAGATTTACCACCATTTTACCATCAACATTACATATAAAAACGCAGCAGACGTGTGTAGGGTTACTGGTGGCTCTGGATAGTAAATAAAATCATTGTGACCCCTGGTTCCCTTCACCACCACTGTACAGAAGTCAGAGTCCAAGTTTCACGTTAAACCACTTTAAATGACTTTCTTTACATCTCAACCACTGAACAATGCAGCATTGTTGAAAAGTTGGTGGAGTTCCCCTTTAGGTACATGCTTGAAAAGATGGTTCTTCAAGGGTTCTTTAGTAAAAAAAATGATTTTACACGGAACCATGAGCACTCAAAGAACCCTTTGCATGATTAAATGTTTCTTTGCATCATGAAAGTTTTCTTCAGATTGATGGAGAATGTGCTGTAGATGGTTCTATATAGAACCTTTGTGAAAATGGTTCTATATATAGCACCAAAAAGTGTTCTTCTATTGTTACAATCTCAGGCCTGTAACAATAGAACCCTTTTGGGTGCTATGCAGAATCCCTTTCAAAAAGATTCTATGTAGAACCATGAACACTCAAAGAACCCTTTGCAGGATTAAAGGGTTCTCTGCATTATGAAAGCGTTCTTCAGACTGATGGAGAACGTGCTGTAGATGGTTCTATATGGCACCAAAAAGGTTCTTCTATTCTTATGGTGTCAAGCTTGTAACAAAAGAAGAACCCTTTTGGGTGCTATGCAGAACATTTTTCAAAAAGGTTCTACATAGAACCATGAACACGCATAGAACCCTTGCATGATAACAGGGGTTCTTTGCTTGTCCTTTTTGAAAATGGTTCTACATAGCACCAAAAAGCATTCTTCTATTCTTACGGTGTCAAGCTTGTAACAATGAAGAACGCTTTTCATAAAGGTTCTATCAAGAACTGTCTACAGCACATTCCTGCGCATTTTCCATCAATCTGAAAAACGCTTTCATGATGCAAAGAACCTTTTAATCATGCAAAGCGTTCTTTAAGTGTTAATGGTTTGATTTAGAATAATTTTCTTTACTAAAGAACCCTTGAAGAACCATTTTTAATGTTTAAAGAGTGTATGGCTGTGGAGTTTATTCCTTCGGTGGCTTAGCACCACGCAGAACAGCTGTGTGATGAGTGACATGTTGGACAACTAAACCACAGTTTGGTCAGAAAAATTCAGTTTGGTCACAGAAAAACGTGGTCATAGAAAATTACAACTAATCACGACCGTTACACTGTTACATCTCAGCTACGCTCAAATCAGCTCAGTCTGAGAGCATAACACCCATTTTAAACTCCCAAACATCTAACAAACCCATCAAAAGTACATTTTTAAGCGGCAAAGGTAATGAATATATCCCAGAATGTAAATGTAAATGTAGAACTAGAATGTACCTGCACCACCGGAAAGCCATCATACTGGAAAAAGTCAATGCGTCCACATAGCAATACATACTGGTTAAGGAAATTCTCTGCTGACAGCATTAGTGTATAACCACGCAAAGCGAGCTCTTGGTACGTTCCTATAAAGTCAGAAATCGGCCTTGTCTACAAGGTGGAGTAACTAAAGGGCCCAAATCCTGCCGTGTCGTCGCTCCACTTACAAGATTTGTGTGTTTTTTAGATAGAGTTGTATGTGAGTTTAAACAGCCCCCCAGTCAAACTGCATTACATATGACAGTTTTTGCACATTGCACTATTTCTATTTATTAGAGTTTAACATATTGGGAAAAAAAATTAAATATAAAATACAAAATGTGCCAGAACTTTCGCACGGGCCACATTGTTTTATTTTTTCCTCCCCAATACATTAAATTCAGCAAATAAACAGCAATTGTGCAGTAAATGTGCAGAAGTATGCTCTCTGTAGAGGATACGTTAACTTATTTTTACTTAAATAAACAAAATGTAATTTGGCCAGGGGCACACAAACTTTTGCACATGACCATACCAAACAGTAATTCATTTTTTCATGACCTAATCATCATTTTCAAACCCTGTTGTATCAATTACAATTATAACAGGCTGTTTTTTGTCACTGTGCCTTTAAAACTGACATATGTAAATGGGCTCTGTCCCAATTAGCTAACCTGCAATAGGCTGAATGGGTGGATATATGCGAATGTGTTGGTTTTTCATGACATCACATGACACTGCAGGTTTGGACTGTATGGACTAAGAGGTGAAACATTAACATTGTTTACAATAGTATGTCAAACTCGAGAAAGCAAAAATATGGGCCCTTTAAAGCTTCACTCAAACAATACTAATGTATGAAGCATAGCATTAAAGCTCATTGGTTTCCATTCATTCTTATTGTACTTTTTGCTAGTGTTGGTATGCTGTTTTCAGGTGAGCTAAAATGCAGTCGAGCAAAAACCAAAGAAAGCACTATTATCTGCATTTCCACACAGATCAGCAAATGACTAGCAATAAAACGGCGTCTCTGGGGCACACTTTTGCCACATAGCTGGATCAATTATATTACACCAGTAATAAAATTAGATCCAGCACAGTCTTCCTAATTTCCAAGCAAGCATTAATGGTTCCCATTTGGCTGGCATAACACCGCTGTAACAGGTCCACTTCACCTCTTCAACAAAACTCATTTAAAGCAGAATGTACTAATGACAGGCATGAGCTGCATTCCCAGCGCTGAGCGCCTCGGTGTTCTGGTAAACGCTGGTAGTTGAACGGCACCCCCGGGCTGGTTTTAAAAAGGACCATGAAGTTTTGCTCCTCTTTGCCCCCCTCTGGTGGAAGGCGGGGCTTCAGATCACCTCAGACTCGTGGCGTGCCAGAGCGATGGGCAGGGTGGTGGCACATGGACCCTGAAAATGATACCTTTAAGCCCACCCCAAAAACAGTCACAGTGCAGTCAGTGATGCTGATTTAACACAAGAGAGTTTTATACATCAGACACATGTTTAACCCCTTAAAATCTCGCTGCAGACATGCACTCTCAGCCAGATGCACTTAGCCCCAGTGACGTCACGTGCACATGCACTTTCTGCCACAATGACAGAAGCAGCCCAACGGCATGTTAACTTTTGGTTGCTGCTGCTTAGGGACATCATCTATTTTTTGTCCGTAACACAGCTAGAGAGTTACATTTAATGTACCTCCCTGTTGAAAAAAATCATAGAACCCATTCAAAGCGTCTGCTGGTTCATGGTGGTTTTCAGTAGTCGCTAATGATGTTCTGTGTCTTCCTGATGGGTTAATATCACAGTGCAAAGGATTCTGATCGTTTAATCAGGTGTTCTGGGACTGATTCCACATACATTTGATTGTTTACTAATGGTCTCTAACGGCAACCATTAAGCCAATTCCCGTTAGGAAGAAAAACCATTAGGGTTTATTCCTAACGGCGCTGCAGACACAGTTACGTTGTGACAATGTGACAACGCTGAAATGAAATTCCTCAAAGTTATGAATGACAAGACAGCAAAAGTAATCGGTACTACGTTGACTCTACGTTGTCACAACCTCCTAGAACCCTTAATGAGTTCTATTTTAATCAGTATTACAGTTTTTGATAACTGGTTCTAATCGTCTTCAGCCTGGCTTTCATGAGTTTCAGTAGCCTTTTTGTTTTTTCTGCGAATAAACCCGACATTCCTGTCTTATCGTCGTGGTACGTTTTATTTTGAAAGTTTCCATATTTAATTACCGTATTATCAGTGTGGCAACGTTAATATACATTCTGTGTAACTCTTGTTGCCCAACAGTTCATGGTTTGCTATTTTTCCTCATAAAACCGACAAAAACACTGTCGTGGTAGCTGGACTGACGTCATCAATAGGCTGGCTATGCATGTCAGGCTGAGAGTGCATGTCCGCAGCAAGACTCTTCTTGCAGTGCCAGCAAAAATGTATGATTATCAAAGTAGAGCTTAACAGTGCAGATTGTTTCTTTAAGGTGGAGAAAGGCAGGATGATATACTCGATGCTATACTCTAATTTTTGTTGTGTAATACTGGCTTCGCAGCAGTTGCTGAATAATTCATCATAGTTAGTGGATAATAGAGCTTTCAGGGGATCAGAAATCAAATTTAGATAGATGTGTAGATTTGACCCATATTTGGTGTATTTATTGTACTACAGAAGAGCAGAATGTTTAGGTGATGTTGGGTTACTGTGCTAAAAAGTCTGCATTTTATTCATTTTACTGCATTTGTAAACCTTAATAAATGTTAGATTTCTCTGAAATGTTTATTCAAGCAGATTTAGCTCCAATTTCTTCATATATTTTTTTTTACTTTTTTGGATTTTAAACCAATTATCTCCCCAATTTAGTTAGGAGTCTAGTTAGGACTTCCCCAATCACACGATGCTATCAACGCTAGGAGGGTGAAGGCTAACACAGGCTTCCTCCGAGACCTGTGAAGCCAACCACCGCTTCTTTTCGAGCTGCCGCTCACGCAACGTCACTGGACAGCCGAACGCGCTCGGAGGAAAGCGCCAACCGCCAGATCTGTTACGTCAGCTAACAGACGCCTGCGCTGACTAGCATCGCGCTGAGTGGTGGGTGGAGAGGGAGGGGCCATCCTACCCACTCAGAGAGAGCGAGGCCAATTGTGCTCTCTTGGACTCCCGGCTACGGATGGCTGTAGCATCACCAGGGATCGAACTCGCGATCTCCTGATGACAGGGCCAACGCTTAGACGGTTGCGCCACTCGGGAGCCCCAATTTCTTCATTTTATAAAATGTGTGTACATATCTGCATCGCCAGATTTGTATATGATAAATAACAGATTTTCCACATTTCCCATTTTGGTGCATCCCTTTTAGTTATAACTGTTGAGATTTTGACTGTGATTATATGAAGTTCTGTATTTTTACTTTTTAACTGATTTCAAACAGCCTAATTTCAGGAGGTGAAGTGAGAAGCACCATCAGACTCTGAAGAAGTGTCCAGACATTCATGAAAAAGCAACCTAAATTTAAAACTAAGGGCCTTTTATCCTGTGATATACATGTAGTATTTTCTCATTCTAATTGCCACCCCAGTCAAATGATTGACCTAGCAAAAAAATCTATAACTCACTTAAATCGGGATGTGCTTGCTTTCGGCCGGATGTTGAACTCGGCCACTGGGACTCCCCGGGACGCCACCTGGGGGGCAAACAATGCTGCAGGGAACACGACAGAGGCTGTGCCCACCTGCAATTAAACCCACGAACCACAAAAAGACAGGAGGGGAATACAGAGCGCAGGGTTAAAAAAACTCATTCTTTACCTTTATATCAACTTCAAATCCACCACATCACTGTGCGTAAAAGCACAGCCATGGAAATCAACAGCCTTTTTCATAACTGTGCTTTAACATTAATATATGTAAATGATCTCTGCTCTTATTGGCTGTCCTGTAAGGTGTCTCATTTGGAAAGCAGCTTATGCTGAAAGACTTTTTATAGCTTTAGTCTGCTGTACGCTAAGTAGGCAGGTATATATAAAAGAACAGGTTTCTGAGATATCAGAAAAACAAGCTCAAAACAGGTTGTTTTACTTTCCATATAAAGACTTTATGGACTTTGGAGGGAATGGTGTATTTTGAAACTTGTTTAAACACTGAGGAACGTTTGTTTTTCCATGTTTTGGGCCTTTTAAAGAGCAACTGTGCAGCTGATCCATCATGGTCAATGAGTTCACTGTTGAACTCATTGAGTTGGCACTTTTTGCTCAAACAATCCTCTAAAATCCTGCCAGAAAGCTCTATAATCTCACCAGCAGGCAGAGATCACAGGCGTCCAGCTCCTTCTCCACTTTGGTGAGGACATGAGAGTCCAGCGTCTCCCCAAACCAGATCACATCCGGCCTCAAGAGGCCATCACAGCCTCTCTCGTCACACCTGAAACACGGACCGTTCACGTTACAAAAGGAAAATATCACTGGATTAGATGGACGACAGCAGTACTTTAAAAAATAGACTGGATCTGCTGAATAGCTCATTAACAGAGAAGCATCCCATTACAACACTGCTATAAACAGTCAATTTTAATATCATACTGCCATCTAGTGGACAACCAGCTTACTACCTCACTGTGACAGCTTCTAACATACTGAGTGAATACTTTCAACTCTGGGTAATATGTATGTGAGAGTTTTAAGAATAAATATTTCACAAAAATTATCTTTAAATCTATTTTTGTTTTCTGTTTTCAATGTTACCCGACTCTTTAAATGGGAAAATGCTTTAATGAATGCTTTAATGGATGTATAGTGATAGTCGTTTCAGCATTCAACATTTAGAGGCTTAAAAGGGGAATTTCACTGATTTTTCACAAGTAAACAGTCATTCAGGGTGGTTTGATGTGAAACAGTTCACTGTAGAGAGACTTACTGAATCAGATTTCTTTACAGTGGTGCTGATAGGAACCAGGAGTCACAATGTCTACAACACAGATATAGCCGTTTTATTTACTATCCAAAACCATCAGTGAACCTACACGTGTCTTCTGAGTTATTACATGTGATGTTGATGATGGTAAAACAGTCATAAATCCAACATCATCAGTTTTCTTTAGGGACTCCTGCATGTGTCTCCTTCATATGAACTGGTTATTTGAAAAATATGTTTATGGCCAAAAACTTGTAAAAACTATCATAAAGCAATGCCTCAGACATCAGACAATGCTTCCATAAGATTTCAGGTAATAACTTTCTGTGAGGGAGCTTTTGGGGGCGTTAACTTCAGACGTCTGGTTCCTATCACCACCACTGTGAACAATTCTGACACAGAAGTTTCCCTAAAACAGAGCATTTCAAATCAAACCACTCTCAATGACTTTGTTTACATCGTAATGAATAAAGTATGCTGAAACGAATATGAAAACTTGTGGGTTTCACCTTAAATGCCATAAAAAGCTCACCATACCTCGGTAAATCCCTCACAGGAATATCAGCATCACTGCACTTTGAGTCTGGATCACTGTAAGAGGAGTTAAACAGTAAATCTAATACTCAGGAATTCACAGAACGCAATTACTTGTTGTCAGGTATTTAAAAAAAGCTTAGTTCTGTGGTTTTCCTAAAAAGAAGAGAGAAGCAAGGCTATAAATCAAAAATGTAAACAGTATGAAGGTTTGCTGCTAATGGCATTATGTAACAGAGCCATCTGGGCTTGTTTTACCCTTTGCCCTGCAGAGCAGCGCAGATGGGGCTGTGGTGGTTGTCCTCCACATCTCCACAGCTCAGACACCTGGTTTTGAAAAGGTTGCCTGAAATGAAATAACAACATGAAATACGAAATCACTACTTAGGAAATTATATAAGAAGTAAAACAGAGAACAATTTTAGATATTCTAAGCATGCATGTTGATGTAGTCGCCCGTCAAGAAACAGAAAGCTTTGCTATGAAATTATACAAAGAAAGTTCGAGATTATAAGACCTCACAATATCTACAATCCCATGCAAAAGTTTGGGCACCCCTGGGCAAATTATATAGTTTTGTTGGTTTTCTAAGTGAAAATAAGTGAATGCATCCTCTGCAGGGAACAAACTTAAATATGGCATTTTCCAGTCAATCATACACACACACATACACAGATCAGGCATAACATTATGACCACCTCCTTGTTTCTACGCTCATTGTCCATTTTATCAGCTCCACTTACTATATAGGTGCACTTTGTAGTTCTACAGTTACAGACTGTAGTCCATCTGTTTCTCTGCATACTTTGTTAGCCCCCTTTTCTCACAGAGCAGGTACTATTTGGGTGGTGGATCATTCTCAGCACTGCAGTAACACTGATGTGGTGGTGGTGTGTTAGTGTGTGTTGTGCTGGTCTGAGTGGATCAGACACAGCAGTGCTGCTGGAGTTTTTAAACACCTCAGTGTCACTGCTGGACTGAGAATAGTCCACCAACCAAAAATATCCAGCCAACAGCGTCCTGTGGGCAGCGTCCTGTGGGCAGCGTCCTGTGACCACTGATGAAGGACTGGAGGATGACCAACACAAACTGTGCAGCAGCAGATGAGCTATCGTCTCTGACTTTACATCTACAAGGTGGACTGACAAGGTAGGAGTGTCTAATAGAGTGGACAGTGAGTGGACACAGTGTTTAAAAACTCCAGCAGCACTGCTGTGTCTGATCCACTCGTACCAGCTCAACACACACTAACACACCACCACGTCAGTGTTACTGCAGTGCTGAGAATGATCCACCACCCAAATAGTACCTGCTCTGTGAGGGTCCATGGGGGTCCTGACCACTGAAGAACAGGGAAACAAAGTATGCAGAGAAACAGATGGACTACAGTCTGTAACTGTAGAACTACAAAGTGCACCTATATAGTAAGTGGAGCTGATAAAATGGACAATGAGCGTACAAACAAGGAGGTGGTCATAATGTTATTCCTGATCTGTATATATGATATGAATTGTTCAATCATTTTTGCACAGGCCACATTTTATGCTACATTCAGCAAATAAAGAATAATAGTGTATTCAAACGTGCAGAAGTGTGTTCTTTGTGGAGGATGTGTTACTGAAACCACACCTGCATAAAGAGCTTGCTTGCTAAAAGATTTGCCCTTTAAAAATCCTGCCAAAGGAACCACAAACTGAGTCAGAGTTATTACTAACAGCGCAGTAGATGCACATACTGTACACTTAACTTGACTCTACATTCACACGAACAGTCTGCGGTGCACTGCTAATGTTAATGTTTAAAAATAAAGCTACACCAAAGAGCGCTAATTAACCCAGCTAATGTAAAATCTATTGAGGACAAGGTAGCATAAGGCTAACTTGCCACTTACAGCTGTAACAATTTATAGGCATCATTAGCAGCCATGATCAGCATTTTAGTCAAAGCTGATATGTGAATTTAAAAGTGTTAGTGGGCAGTATGGCCAAAATTAATAACACAGTAATAATATCTCAGAAATAAAGGTATGAAATGGTCACTGGGGCAGTGCCCCTCTCATCACAGGGGTGGAACCCTCAAGGGTACATCTCAGCACCTTTAGTCAGGGAACATAACTGAACCATAATCCATTGAAGTTATATTTTCTAAGTTGTACCGACTCCACACCCCCGTCTCGTCTCCAGGCTTTTTATTTTACTGTTCTGTTTTAAACATTTGGTTATGAAAAGGTGCAAATCTGAACTTTTTACCTGGAAAAACTTACTTAAGGTACACAGTTGGACCTTAAAAGCACTGTTGTACCTTTGAGGGAACATTTACATTGTTTGTACCTTGACAAACGAAAAATGTACCTGCACACAACCTTTATTTCTAACTGTATAATTAAAATTTTGGATGGTTTCGGTATACATCACGTATGCATTTTCAAATAAAACCATTTTTGATGCTTAAGTAAATATGTAAACTGGCAAACATACAGATAAACCTACGTCAATATTGCTTTCTAACACTAGCCCTGTGAGCCCAGCAAAAATGCTGCTAAATGTTTCCCGTATGAATTTCTACAGGGCTGAATTTGGTTTCTTAATTACCTGCTTTCTGTTTAATTTCTTTCATTCCACCTTAAATGGAGCTGCAGTTACATCCTGGCACCTGCTCCAGTATTCAGGGGCCTGAATCTAACTGCTGCACTATTTAAGGTTGAACGGGAAAGTCAAATAGAAAGCAAAATTCAGCATAGTCAAATTTCTCAAGTCACCCCTCAGACTGTCAGACACAGCTGGAATTTGGAAGATATTAGTCTTCAGTACCAGCCGGTCTAGAAACGTACAGGTGAGTTTTCTTTGCTTTTTTGGTGAAATACGTTCTACTTTCTAAAATTAAAGGAAGTTCTAGGCAGGTGATCAGAAACTATTCAAACTTTCAGTTTTTAGCTGTTTTAACTCCATTTTCTTCAATTCACTGAGGACTCGCTCGCGGGCGCCCTCTGCTGTTTTGCAGTTATGTTTTTGATATAACGGAGGAAATAGGAAGAGGCCAGGCTCCTCATAAACCAGCTCTGATATGAAACTTGGCTAAAATAAAAGAAGTAAGATGTGGGCTCTTCACTGCCCTCTGGTGGAGGATAGAGTTCAGACATTTTGCAGTCATGAGAAAGTACAAAGGTAAAGAAAAGTTAATTTGTGTATCAAAAATATTGACTATTCATTTTTTAATAATAAATTTATGACGACTGAACATTCTGACTCATCCCTATGTGGCATCTACGTTAGCACTAGCACCACAGAGGCGAGCGTGCCCTTCCTCACCGTGGACCTCCAGTACATGTTTGGATCCGGCTCTGCGGTGGAGCTCATCCGTGTTCTGGGTGATGACCACCAGGGATCGGCCCTGCTTACTGAGACGAGCCTCACACTCGGCTATAGCTCTGTGGGCCTCACTGGGCGTGGCTTTGAGGGCCAACTCCCTCCAGTAGTGGTAGAACTCCCACACTCTGGAGGGGTTGCGGGAGAACTCCTGCGCAGTGGCCAGATCCTAGAAAACAGTAAGAATGAGAGAAGGAACTGTTACATCCAAGATGGTAGGCAGCATTTGGGACAGAGGTTAGCAGTCTTCCTCTAATATGCTACAGCTAGTTTTGTGCAACTTCACAATTCTTTATAATTACAACTAGAATGCTGTTAATAAGTAAATAGTGAAATTAAGAAAGGTTAGCTGTGTCCAGAATTGATTCTAAAATGACTGCATGATGTTATAAGAATAAAAGGTAATTATACCTTGTCAAGCTGTGAATTTGATTAAAAAAAAATAAACTATAAATAGATACAGTGCTGTGCAACAGAGACCATCCTTAGTACACACTCTTCATTTTTCTCATCAAAAAAGAAAAAAAAAACACTTAAAAGAAAACGACATAGCAGCCTCTACAGCTGGATATAATATCACATTAGTATCACATTTTTCAGCATTTAGTGTATCCACATATTTCCTTTATTACAGCTTCCAGCATCTTCACATTATTTTCCATATATATTTTCTTTTACTTTTTTCTTTTGCAAGTGGAACATTTTATATCTAATAAATGAAGTGTGGTCTCTGACTCCCTACATATAAACAATACATACATACAAACAAGTAATTACAGTATACTGTTTGTCCATGGCACCTAAAAGTACCCTCTGTTGTCTAGTTTAAAGCATTTAACTCTGCATTATGTAATCTGTTGTTTATAAAATCACAAAAACCATTCATATGAAAAGTGATTCTGAAACTGTAATGTACTCTTTACTTTAAAGTTGTAGCTGTGCTGTTTGTAAAGCTGACCTTAGCTGGCTATGGGAGCACAAGCAAATGCATAAAACAGCCTCAAGCTAAATTTAAAAGCTAATAGCTACATAAAAGTTATGTGGTAACGTAGTGATTCATAATCCGAATAATCGATTATTCGTTCCAGTAATCGATCGATTATTCAAATTAGTATCAAATTAGTCATTTGTCGCAGCCCTAGTGGCTACATATATGTGCACTCTCACTCACCTGTGTCTTCCACCGTCTCCAGTGGCCGCTGGCTGCTCTGAAGGTGGGCAGGCCGCTCTCTGCACTAACCCCAGCTCCAGTGATGATGGCGATGTGCTTGGCTTTGGAGAAAACCTCACGAAACTCTGCCATGTCTGTAACAACACCCAGTCTGTAAAGGCTCTGTCCAACAACGTCAGGAAAACAAGCACTAAAGCCTCAATAAACTTCACTCAGAGGCAGTTTTCTGTGGTGAAAAAGACATTTCCACAAATGTTTCACAGCTATGTAGCTGAAACATACTATGGAATCTTATACCTCAACAGTTACACACTCGACAAATGCAAGGGGCAAAATACAACAGGTCCTGGGGGGGTTTAATCTGTCAAGGCATCTAATCATCACTGAAATGAAAGTGATGGATAAAGATCTCTGTGCTGAAGAACAGGCCAAACTCGATTTACA